AAGTTTGGCGAGAGCTCATGTAAAACAAATCTAACTAAAAATTATAAAAAAGTCAAATTTCAATTTTTTGTGAAAAAAAACATCATATACACTTCCCAATAAATTAACGCACCACAAAAAAATAACCAAAAGTTAAGTTAAGTTTTTGTCAAAACCACTTATCCGATTTGGACGATTTTTTTTTGAATGATAGGTTATTCTTTCCACAATGTTGCTATACTAACTGTATTTTGATAGGAACCCTTTTTATACTAATACCGGCTGTAGCAATTATAACGTGTTTTTTAATAAAATTTGTTACACCTTGTAAAGTTGATCAGTTACAGTATCAAGTTAAAATTGAAATCACATTTTAGCCTTATCTTTTTTTTACATTTTGTTTTTTTATTTACTCCATTAGCTTCCTTATTACACGAGAAACAACATTTTATAGGATGACATAATTTAATATTGGTTTTAATTAACATTTTTCCATTTTACTCACTAAACTAAGTAGCAGGCTATGGAAAAACAAGGATTACCAGTAAATTTCAAATAGAGATGATAGTTTCTGTGCAAACTTGTAGACCATTAGTATCTCTAAGCTGAGTTTGAAGAATCCGAGCTGTTACGAAACGTTGTCTTAATGTTGAGAGTTTTAAAAAACGTTCCTGAATCGGATTGGTTCTTCGATTCCTGCCTTGTCCCGGCCTGCGACAAGTATTACTCTCAGTATCTCTATATCGTTGTATAACTCGTGAAATGGTTGAGTGAGTTACATTAAATCGTTCACCAATTCTTCGGTAGCTCCAACCTTCCTCAGACAATATTAATGCTTGGCACATTCTTCGCCAGTAAGATTTCTTGTTTCACGTGCACGTTGCATATTTTTGATATAATAAAACGACGAAAACGAATGACACTGACAACAAGCATCTCTATTTGACATTTACTGGTAATCCCTGTTTTTCCATATAGCCTGCTACTTACTTTAGTGAGTAAAATGGAAAAATGTTAATTAAAACCAATATTAAATCATCTCTTAATATAAAATGTTGTTTCTCGTGTATAAGGAAGATAATGGTGTAAATAAAAAACAAAAATATATAAAAAAGATAAAGGCCGTGTGATTTCAATACAACGACCGTCAGCGTGTCTAAGCTGATAAACGGTCACTGCTACACCCGACTGATAATATAAAGGGTTCCTATATGCTGTGATGAAAAGAAATAACTATCATTCAAAAAATCGTCCAAAAGTGAACACGACAAAAAGCAACAAACTTTGGTTATGGTGCACATTGGTGACAAGTATTTCATATAGTCTGTAAAACGAATAACTTTGAATTTGACAGTTCCCGCGGGCTTTTCTAGTGTTAGTTTTATTAGGTTAGCAACTTGCGGCCATGATGACGCAATGCCCTCTCTAATAGAACAGCCTGGGAGCGAGATTTATGACGTCACGCTAGTTAGATACTACGGATTAATAAATATGTTGTAGAATACATAGAAAACATAATTATTCCTCGTATTTTTGATTTGTATTTTAAAAATGATATAGTTTACATGAAATATACATAATATACAGTTAATAAATACAATATATATACCTATTTATAGTAATAAATACTTTGGCATATAAAACTATGAACCATACAAATGCAGCAAACGCTTTACAATATGGCTGAAATCGTACTCCATAGTCAATGTAGATAGTTTTTGTGTTAAGAATAATAATTTAAAAAAATATATGGTCATCTTTTGACAAGTTTATATTAGTTTATTAATTGCAGTAAACATTATAATATATAAATAAATTTTGTGAATGCAAATAATAATACATCACTATTAGTAGATATTGAATGTTTTTTGTTAAATTAGATCGATTTTTAAACCCCAAAATTTAAATATATTTTACATTTTACCAGATTTGTTAAACTACACGTAGTAATTAATAAACTACATTTACTACATGTCACAAGTAGTTTTTTAAATGTCGAGTAGTAAATGTGTACTTTAAGTAACTAATGTAGTTTTTTTAAATAACAGTGAAAACATAACCTAAAGACTTTGTTTGTTGATCAATTTAAAGAAATAAAAAATCTATAGTTTGTGAATTTGTTCCTTATTATTTGATATTTTTGATATTTATTAGTAGTTAAAAATGCTTGGAAGACGTCGATGTCTCCATACCTTGCTCCATACTTTCTGGGAAGAGGGGTATTATGAAGTTGTGCCTTTAGATGTAAAAAATCATATATTCTCTGGAGAATGTCTATGGAGAATTTCTCCATAAGAATTTATAGTTTATTTTGTGTTCAATGTTACTTTGTATTTCGTAGAAAATACACTTTTGTTGAAAAAAAAATTGTCTTTTTTTCTGATGTTGTTTAACTTATACAAATATAATATAACTTCATACTTCCATCAGCTTCCATGATAAGAATTTGGCTTGATTTTAGTTTAAAGTCTAAATTGTTTATGTTTTACTATATTTTTGTAGGTAGTTTTTAACGTAGTTTTTGTGTAGTTTTTGAAGGTAGTTTTTAAAATTTTAAAACGTAGTTAATACAAAAAACTACGCGTAGCTTTTGGCGTAGTTTTTTGCTTCATAAACTACTTAACAACCCTGCATTTTACCCATTACCTTATGCACCGCCCATTCATTATTTGTATATTGTAAAACATTTGCTGCATTTGTATGGTTCATAGTTTTATTTGCCAAAGTATTTATTACTATAAATAGGTATATATTATATTGTATTTATTAACTGAATATTATGTATATTTCATGTAAACTATATCATTTTTAAAATACAAACCAAAAATACGAGGAATAATTATGTTTTCCATGTATTCTACAACATATTTACCGTATGATCGAGAAAAAACGGCGTCAGCGATGGCTATGAAATGAAGATCGCTGTCATTTTATATGTAAAATTATATGGGGAATGTCATCGATGTTCATTTCCAAGCCAACTGGACGCCGTTTTTATTCGATCATACGGTATTAATCCGTAGTATCTAACTAGCGTGCCGTCATAAATCTCGCTCCGTGGCTGTTCTATTAGAGACGGCATTGGTCTAATATTTAGAAATGTCAAAAGCTGATGCCATTTACTTTTGTCGAATTATGACATTTCGTGTTGATTTTGCTAGACGAAAAACTGTCTGTTTTATTATTTTCCTTTTCTATTTCACGAAAGTAAAAAGAGTTACGTATATGATTCGTTCAGGCACTCAATTTAAAGAATATCAGTAACTTTTTTGATAGAGGGATTTTATATTTGCCATGTTGGTAAAAAATAACGGTCAAAATTCAAAGTTATTCATTTTATAGACTATATCAATTAAACTTTTAGTTACGCCAATCGAGGGCGCGATTTTTAAATTCATTGTCGCCAACCATGGACATATTCGGCGCCGTGCTAACTAACTGGAATTTAAATTTCGCGCTAGGAATTCAGGTGGTAGCTCTGCTGTAAAAATGCCAAGTTGCCGCATTTATTTATTTATTTCCTGACTATTCGTTTTGACACTTTAGTTTTGTATTACGAGTTTCTGCTTTAAATAAATAGTGTTTTGATATTTTAAGCTTGAAAACGTTTACTAGCAGACCTTGCAGTCGAATATTGTTCTTTTTAGAACCTCTTTTAGTGCGAAGTGTGCAAGATAGCTTAATAGCCGTAAAAAACTCATCGCAACTTTATTAGAATATTTTGAACGGGAAAGCGGTAGTAATGGCCTTTTATATCCCTTAAGTGCTGTTAAGAAGGTGAATTTTCTTGATGTAAATAATAACTGTTTATATATTTTTAATTAATTTATTTATGTTTCCTAAAATATTTTGATTAAAAGAAAATATGTAAAAGTGGGCAACGCTGTGCCAGCCAAGCTTAATCACGTGACTACTAAGTTTATTTGGTATGAACTATAAGTGTTTCTGGGGTCGAAATATACTATCCCTAAAAAGCCTCACCCTGTATTTCCAAAATTTTTCTATCATAAACTTTTTTATCTGTTTTTCAATCAATCCTAATTAACACCCCGTATATTTTGATATGTCTGTTTATATTCCGTTCTGTACGTAAATTGTGATTAATCACGTGTGCAATTACACAAAAATAAATTCGATCAAGTTCTTGGCACACGAACACTCTGTTCGTTCTGCCATTCTATTTCAAGGTGAGGAAGATTTAAAAAAAAATCGTTAAAATAAAAGATATTCGGTCAAGTATAATGTATAGAATCAGACTGATCTGACACAAATATATTGGTTCAGTTTCTCATATTAGTTCGGTGTTTTAAATAAAGCTTACCTCAATTTGATTTAACTAGTAAAGTATTATATAAACAAAAAAAAAGAGTAAAATGGCATATGTTTTATTTGAAATTGTAACATGCGGTTCATATCGACAATTTGACTCGAAATACCAACTGTGTGGTAACAAATTATTCGAAAAAAAATGTTCTTTTCCAAATATGCTAAGGAGCAACCCTCGTTCCATTTAAAAAAATTGAGATATGATTAAAAATACGATTTAGGCATCTTTTAACCAGCCAGGACTAGACACGAAAATCTATCATTTTTCCAAGGCTACTTGATTAAAAATTGGTTTTTTTAACATAGCCATGGCACTCTAGATTGATATTTAAAATACGATTTTTTTCAAGCGAAGATGTCAAAAGTTTACATGTGATATGTCATTTTATTGAAAGTGTCATTTTCTATCGAATAAAGTAAAAATACCGGGTATCATTTAAAAATCAAAAGTTGTAGTCATTTCCGATGAAACTTGGAAATGACCAGCTAATTGAATACGTCAATCAATCTAATTTTATGTCATATACCAGATACCAAAATCGTTTTTATCTGACAAAAGTTATAGGCCGGGGTGACTACTTTGAGAAGCTTACCCGGTATATTCTCGAATAGAAAGCTAGATAAAGTCTGTCCAACGAGCCAGGGAAGATTTTGACAGACCACACTCTCAAAAAATGACAGAAAACTCAATTTACCTGTGAACTAAAATGGCAGAACTGTCACTGTCTAGGAGGTTCTCTTTGGACCAAAATCTGTTTTATTTAAATAATATATATATATTTTATTATAAAGTATTTTATATTGGGTATTTTTTTTTATAATCTTTACACATGCACACACCTACATATTATCTGACAAGCCAAAATAAATATTAAAAAAAAACTAGTGGCATACAAACCTTTGTTGTTTCTCCTGTTGCGATGTCTCTTAGCATTTTCCATCGTGACCGACACTTGTTAACAGACGCGAATATAAGAATGTCACAAACTGAACAGTCATTTTCGATGGTCGATCAAAAAACTAGCAAATCAAAATTGTTGAAATAGAAAAAACTAACTGAAAAATTAACTATTTTGGCTTATTAAAATACTTTTAAAGACTAAAATTGGCCAGCAATTTTTTTGTTTCGTCTGTGAACTACCAGTAGCGTAGTTCACAAACGGGTCAAGGCCAAACCTAATAAATTATTTAGTTCACTTTGATTTTTTATGGGTATTATAAACAAGGCTTTGACCTATTTTAACAATTTCTGCCTTTATAAACATATCCTTTTTTAAATATCTGGATATTGTGGAGTGCCCAGAGAGTTTTACCTCGGAATTCAATTACTGTGAATATATTAATGTTAAACCTTCTGTATTGTGTTTTATAGATAAAATACTAAAATGTTTACCTATTTTTTTTCGTTGCTTTTAATTTTTTATTTTAGTAATTTTAGTAAATTCTTAATTATTTCCTTCTCTTAATATATTGATTTTTTTAATTCTTTTTCTAAGTAAATTTATTGAAATAAATAAATCTAATGCATATTATGCACCTATTCTGTTTATATTCTAATCATTGAAATTTTGATTGAAATCGAATTATACAGGGTGGCGCGTCATATGCGACGCGGTTTTTGCAAGGAGAACAAATGTTTATATTGAAGTGAAAATTTCTGAGCTTATGTAAGTAAATTTAAAGTATTTTCTAAAATTATGTAGAGTTCTACAGGGTGTCCCAAAAAAAAGTTACACATCAAAGTTATGTTTTTTGTAATGGAACACCCTATATATTAATTGATTTTTGGATTCTAGTAAAAAAATAAAGGTTTGTTTCATTAGAAAATTATATGACTGAAATGTATAGTTTTTGAAATACATTCATCGGCACGAAAAATGGGCACCTAAAAACTTTGATGTATTTTAAAGGTTAATATATATAAAACCTTTTAAAAATGGCTGAGTTTGGTTGCTCGCGCTCTGGATACCGCTCAAAATATAAATCAGCTGCCATTTGCTTATGTTTGTTAGACTCAATATAACATTCTAACATATTATATTCCTCAACATTATCAAATTTACTCATTTTTTTATTATTTAAAATACACACACTTCAATCTGTTTAAATGAAATGTCCCGCATCCATCAAAGGTATGTTCCGATCACCATGACAACCGTTTACTTTGTTACTCGGCGCGGCCTACTATCTACTAAGTGGATATTTTAAGAAAAATTTGAAATGTTGAGGTTAATAGTAAAAATAAATATAGAGTGTTATATATTTTCGAGAAGCCGATGCCAAGCTAAATAAGAATATTTAAAAATATATAAGGGGTTATATTTAAAAAAACATAAGTATAGTTAATATCTCAAAAAATATTTTTTTCGAAAAAAGTCTGACTAGGCCAATGCATTCTACACAGAAAAGTGCCTTTAGAATGTATAATTTATTTTTCCGTGGTTGCTGAAATAAACAAACTATCGAACATCTTCAAAAAGTACAAAATTTGAGAATCCCCCTGTAGCTTCGAAACCGATCAAAATAGCCACGATCCGTTTGCGCCATTGTAATTTTTTCAAAAAAAGAACCCGAGACTGCAGTATCAAAATTTGAATATTTCTCACGGTTTCCTAGATACCCTATAGAAACAACCAAAATGGTCCACCTTAAGCATGTATGTTTGGAATTTTGTGTGTAGCTTAAAGCGTAAGGATCTGGCTAAACTTTAGGCAGATTTCTGAAATATAATATAATATTTCCTTCGGCCACACACCCGCTTTATCCGACCCCTGAGAGCGACCCGAACAGTACAGCGTAATAGAATCAGTCTTCGCAGTCTTCCGAGTTTTGTCGGCACAAGCAAATTGTACGGTAAGCCGTTGCGTCTAGTCAGTGCTTTAAGGAAAGTTTCCTGAAAACTTACAGTCAAACTATAGAAACCTAAGACAAATATTAGTTTGATCGGTTGAAAAGTTATTCAAAGGATAAAAAATAGGAAATATTAAGGCTTTCTATCTATTAGATAGTCCCACGCTTTCGTCACTGAAACCGGAAACCACTTTTCGCGAGCTAGGCGCGCACTTCTGGACACCCGCGAGTTGTTGTCCGTTCCCGGCCGATCCCAACTAAGTCCAGGCCTATTTTTGGCCCCGCACAGCTTCTATTTTTGAAAAGTGACACGCCAGCGAGACTTCGCATCATTTCTGACGTTAATAATGCCAAACAACCTCCCAAACTTATTGTTTTTTCGAGTTTGGGTTCGCCCAATTATTGAGAGCGTCCAGTTAATTGATTATTATATACAGGGTGCCAAAAAATAATGTATCTAACTTTGGTTGGTGATTCTGCAGATAAAAATAGAACAGAAAGTTCCTATGAACATGTGCCCTAAAATGCTTCCCGAAGAAGTTACAGCCAGGGGGGTGACAGTAAACCGGAAAATTGGAAACAGTTATGGCGCGGTTCTACCCAGGCAGAAAGCATGGCCTTCTAGACTGTCCTAGACAAAAATCTGAATATTTCTATATGATTTCTGTCAATTTCTGCTACGGAATATTTTTATGCACGTCGGCGTCCTGTTCCTTTGTCTTTTTGTCTGTGTGTCAGCGTCAGCTCCGAGGCCTCTGGCAAGGTCGGGCGCCATTTTAATTTTTGCCGTTTAGATTTGATTGGAAGTTTGTTTCTGATATTTCGGCTGAAATTTATAAGTACAAAGATGTTTTTTGATATAAAGTTCCTTGTTAACACTTTAATAAAGTATATATGATATTAATTACATGAAGAAAATGATGAAATCGACGTTTCGGCGTGTAGCAGGTATGGGCCATATTATAGGTAAAAATAGGTAATATATTAACTGTTTTTATATTTTTTTAGCTTTAAACCCAAGGATCTTGGGATATTCTTTCAAGGATTTTTCCGTATCTCTACTTTAAAGACTGATCGGTGATTTTGAGCAATTGAAAGCAAGTTATACAAGGTAAATTATGATTATTGAACTATTATTAGCCTACGTTAAATTTCTACAAGATGAACAGAAATGCGTAATTACATATCACATAGGTACCTATTATGTATTTTCATAGCAATAATGCTATAAATCTATGTATGTAGATTATTTTTAAAATACAAATGAGGTATTAGATGTATATGTATCATATTTTTTATTCATTTTATTTTCATTCAAGTCCTGTTTGATTTAATTCACAAAAGTCTTATGTAGGTACCTATATTTATATTTTTTACATATTTTTTTTGATTCCAGGTTTTGTGTGGGTTCCGGTTGCCTTTTTCCTGCTTCCAGTTATTTATCCGTGAAGCTGTGAAAACATTTATTTATCTTCAAGTTTCTGTAAGTCAATGCACTGTTACTTTACTAATTCACTTTAACACAGCATCTCTGATATTATTTAAACATTTGATATTGATACAGTAGTTTATTGGTTTATATCTCTTTAATTGTGTTGATTTGCATATTTACATTGTTCTAAATTCCAAATAAATATTTTTGAGTAATTTTATTGTATTATTTACTACTAGAAAGAGTAAAAAGTATATTAACCCTCATTTAAACCTCCTGAACAGCCCGCCATTAAAATCCGGAAACGGAAATAAATTTCATAAAAGTGAAATTGTCATGTCTATGTCATGTCAAATGTCCCAGCCGCCATATCTGAAAATTAGTTACCCAGGCAGCCACGCTGTTTCCATAATTTAACATTGACTTGACACTTCTTCTTGAATTTATTATTTTATGGTTACAGCCCTCAAAAAGTTAAAGAAAAATAATATACTTATTTTTTTTTTCCATAGCAACCAAAGATAGCAACTGTTAAAATTGCCTTATATCTATCAAAAATAGTAGATAAAATAGTACTAATTCTGTATTTCGAAGGGGACTATAACAAAATATCAAGTGTGCTATATTTTTGGAAAGGTAATTTTAAGTTCTTTTCACTTAATTAAAAATATACAGGGTGTCCCAAATAAAAAATATTTTTTTTCTGTTGATAACTCTTAAATCATTAATTTAAAAAATATATACTTAAACCATTAAATTCTACGTAAACAGGTGCTTTGGAAATGTTTTTACAAAAATACATAATTTTCCATAGCAAAAAAGTTACAGCAATTTGTTAAAAATGCGCATTTTTGAAAAACACCCCGTAAATAAACGGCAACAAATATCGATGTGCGATTTTCACCATCATGTTTTTGATAAAAATTGAGCTCCTAACACCAATATTAGTTTTCGTCTATAACGGCTTACGCACACGTAACGATTTATCGTACTGCGCGTTGAACTGCAGATCGTAAAGAAAATCGTACGGCTTGCAGGACCGCTATTTTTTGTACACACGATGTAACACATTGTACTGCCGCAGTTCATATTATTCACTTTTCGTAGAGAAGGGCTACCGTTATGTCAAGAATTTCAAAGAAGAAAGGTGCCGTGCTTGTAGCTGCGGTATTGCTGATAGATGAAGATGATGAACAAAAAGAAATCAAAAAGCGAAATGGTGTAAAAAGTGGTTGCTGGAGAGAAAAAAATATCCAAAAAAATTTTTTTTTTTTCAAAAAAGTTTCATAACTGGAATTTCTTTTCATTTTATTTGCATAATCTTTTGATTTCCCATCCCATAGGCATCTATTTTCTCTATATAAATCAATAAAGTCTTCCCAGGACGTCTTATTTTTTAAATCTATAATATTGATTAAACCAAAAATAAATAAAAATTATATCGTAACTGCGCACTGCGGCAGGGAATACACTCCACATGTTCAGACTTGCGTTCAAACCCCAGCCCAGACACGACCCGTTGTTACGATATTTTACGGAAGCTCCGTACTGCAAACGATTTGACGACTGCATACTGCAAACCATTCAATTTCCCTACACACGCTACGATTTATCATTAATGCGGCAGTTTCGATGGATATGCATGCAGTACGATAAATCGTTACGTGTGTAGGCCGTTTAGCTCTTATAGAAAAGGGTCTTTCCCTTTAAAGCGTCGAATTTGACCCACCCTGTACAGCACTGATAAAAATATTGAAAAATTTAAAGGCAATCTCAAATCAAAAGTAACTTTCATGTATTTTTAAAAACTATCACAAAATTATTTCCAATCTCGTACTACGGGTAGTTCTCCTGGTAAATAGAGTTGAAGGAGGTGAAAAATTAAAATTAAAGGTATAAAAAACCATACAAAAATAGAAAAATATTTTATTCAAAACAAAGAAATAATTAGACAATTAAAATAGAAAGAAGTATCACTAAAATAACACTTTATTATTATTATCACACATGGAACTCTCCTCCTTCCAGTTTTTCATCTGAAATACAATTAAACAACCATCGGGCATTCTCGTCGCTTAACCACAGAATACTCATGAGTATCCCCTCGAAAATACCAAGGAATAATCCCCCTGCAACGTCCAAGAGGTAGTGGCGTTCCATTAGGACTCTGCTAATTGCTAAGACTGTCACCCAGGCAAACATTGGAGGGTAAAAAATTATAGAGACCGGATAGAGAAAGATGAAGATGAACACTACCATGGCTGCACGACTTACATGACCTGAAAAATAAATAAATTGTTTGTTTTAGATATTTCATCGTCTTTAATCAACATGCTAGAGAATTGTTTTTCTTATTTTTTGTTCAAAATATTAAAAAAAACCTGTAAAATCAATGCATTACACATTATTACCCGATGGAAAACTAAAGTTGTCTGGACCTATCTGAGCAAATGCATCATCCTTGTTGCCCATGGGTCTCCTCCTTCGAAAATAGGCCTTTAGTAAAGCTATGGCAACAATATCCAGTATCAAAGCTGTAAAAAAAGAGAAATATAAAAGAAGCCATAATCCACATCTAAATTATATGTATTTATTTATTGATACAATACTAATTTTATTATCTGATTAATAAAATATATAGAATATTTAAGCATTTATGTTACAGAAATAGTCTATAATTGGATATTTTTATTATTTTTTACTCACCTAAAAGCATATTAACTTGCAAAGGTACCAAACTTGGTTTGTTGAATAACCATGTCACTGCAACCCAAAATACCAACCAAGGAATACCGTGGCAAGTTATCTTAAATAAGAAAAACGTTTAATAATCTGTTGTACTTATAATAAAATAAGTATATTTACCTCTAAAGCTTGAAAATGCATTCTTAAAAGCATGTAAAGGGAGACAAACTGTTTCCCCATAGTACAAATTTCTTTGTTATCTCTTCGTCTGCATTTAAAATTACTCTGAGCAATGGAGGAACTATTCTTTTACTCTAAAACAAATTAAAATAATGGTAAATTATTATTAGGTAAAACTACAATAGATATTAACAATAACTGAGTTTTATATAGGTGTTTACCTCAGTCATTTTGGATAATTTAAAACCATGTACCTACGATACAATACTCAAAAATTGTTATTGAATACTCGGATTCAGTACACTTTATTTCAATATAGTTGTTAAATCTAATATCACTGAATAATATACTGTATTTTTCTAAATATAAAGTCTCAAAATTCTCTGATTATGATGAATAATACCACAAATAATACGATAATAATGACATTTAAATCTTAGGTTATGTAGTAACAGTAGTAAGGGGCAATTTCAAAACTATATCGATATGAATAAAAGCCAAATACATAAAATTTTCAAATTATCACTGATAAATGAATAATATAATAGATGAATCACTGATAAATATGTAATATTGCTGTATTATTACTTTATCCATACATAAGTAGCATTATTGGTTTATTTCTCCAAATGAAACGCAGCGCAGGCGTGTGATTCAAATGTTTGTATCGTAAAATACAGTTCATTCATTCTGTTTATTATCAAAATTTTTGATTAAAAAGCCTAGAATTTGTTAATAAATGACGGCCACTGTCAATGTTTTAGATCTTTCCAAGTCTTTTGATAGTAATGATTTGGCAAATATGGCAAAAGAAGATGAAAGCTCCAATAATTTTGCAAAAACGCTAAAATTTAGTACTGATATGAGATTGACCACTCCGAAGCCTGTTCTTCATATTGGTGCATCTACGGAGGTAAATAAAATAATAAATATTATCTTTATTTTCTCATAGCGTAATTTTGTACCATGGTTTATTAAAAATATATAGGGTGTAAATAAATAATCTCCAAAAATACAAATATACAGAGTGGTTCGATAATTGTAAACGGAAAACTTCGATTGCGCAGATGAAAATAAGTAAAAAAGTTCGAATGAATTCATGACTTAAGCCCCGTTCTCAAAACTGCGACTCGCCAGCGACACGACAAAAGAACCAATCAGATTTGTACAAAATTCAAACAGCTGTCAATTTTAAATTTAGTACAGCTCCCATTGGTCGTTTGAAGTGTCAATCAGTGTCGCTGTCGACACGACGCAGTTCTGAGAACAGGGCTTTAAGCCCCGTTCTCAGAACTGCGACTGTCGCCAGCGACACTTCAAAAGCACCAATGAGATCTGTACAAAATTCAAACAACTGTCAATTTTAAATTTAGTACAGCTCCCATTGGTCGTTTGAAATGTCAATCAGTGTCGCTGTCGACACGACGCAGTTCTGAGAACGGGGCTTAAAGCCCCGTTCTCAGAACTGCGACTGTCGCCAGCGACACGTCAAGAGAACCAATCAGATTTGTACAAAATTCAAACAGCTGTCAATTTTAAATTTAGTACAGCTCCCATTGGTTGTTTGAAATGTCAAACTGTGTCGCCAGCGACACGACGTTGTTCTGAGAACGGGGCTTGAAGCTGCTTCGTTTCGGAGATACAGGGTGTAGAAGTTTCATTTTTATTTCGTTTTTTTTTCAAATAATTTATACCTTGTGTAAAAGGCCAAATCTTCTGGTGTATGGGGGGCTAATATTTTGTCCCAGTTTCAGCGTCAAGTTTCTGCAATGCCAAGAACCCCCTTCAAACCGGGGACAGGCTACAGCAGAGCGGGTACCGGGTTCAAACCCACGACAAATTTCAAGAAACCCGGCACTGGCAAACCGGGAACGGCAGCTTTCAGACCGCCAACAGGATTGGAGAACGTCACCAGACCGATGACAGCTGTCAGGGGGCGCGGGGTACACTTCTGGGGTGGCAAACCGTTCGATCCTTTGAACCAAGCGGGGGCGGTACAGCAAACGCCGCCACTGGAATTGCAGAAAGACGACTCGTGAGTACCTATTTAGGTATTAATAGTACAATAATAGTCAAAATATGTGTTATCTCTTGTGGGCAGATTCTGTTCTGATCTGTTATTATTTTATTTTTTGTAATAAGTTACGAAATGAAGATCGCTGTCATTTTATATGTAAAATTATATGGGCAATGGCATCGATGTTCATTTGCAAGCCAACTGGACGCCTTTTTTTTTCAATCGTACGGTATTTATAGGCCAGAGGAAAAGATGCGTCAACAGGAAATAAAAATAATGCAGTTAGTTGAGGAATCCTGTATAGCTCAAAGCGAGGGTGATCTACGTAAAGCATTGACCAAAGCCAAAGGAAGCTTCAAACAAAGAAAGAAGTTTAATAAAACACAGGAGCAAAGTGATCTCTCAGATCACCATAACATCGACCTAACTTATGTCGTAAGTAAATTCTCTAATTTAATTACTTTGAAGTAAAAATCAATTTTGTTAAGACTTGATGTGTTACAATGACATATTAAATCAGTCAATAATAATAGTTTTCTTTGTAAAGACACTTTCATCGCGAAGACCGTTCGTCGCGTCCGGAAAGCATTCGCCAGATGACATTCAAAAAAATGACAGAAAATACAATTTACCTTTGAATTAAAATGACAGATAACAACTGTCATTGTCAAGTATTTTATGGTGGGACAAACTTTGTACTACTACTACTGCTATAGTAAACGCCACGAATGTTTGGGAGTGATTCATCGCTTGATGAAGTTAGAATCGACACGCGTGCTGTCATTTTTACATTAAAAACGTAATTTTTCATCTGCCTGCGCTCCTCCTACTTATTCTAAAATGTTAGCGTGATTGACAAAGACGATACTATATCGCGTTTCTTTGATTGATTCGTTTTTGTGCGTCAGTCCATTGGTGTGCTTGCAGTGCGACCAATGGGGCATTCCATTTTATATTTATAATCAAATATATGTTTTGACAAGACTTTGACAGTTAAAACAACAAATTACAACCTTTGAATAAGAAGACTAAGGAAGGAGCATAATGCTATTCATGTATTCATGCATGGTGGGCGGAAAAAGAACTCTAGGGTGGGGATCCTTGACAGTTCTGTTTGACAATTCATTTGACACATTTGAATTTGATTTGAAATTTTGTGGATTTGTCAGTCTTTACGGAGCTTATTTTATGTTATTTATTATTTATTCTACTACTGATAGTTGTATAAAGGTAGTAAATCTAGGTGGAAATTGTGGCAAAAATTAAAATAACAGTGACACTATCGCGATTTATCGAAAAAGACTCTAAAATAGTTGGTTGTGTAGCGTGCGGTAGATCTCGGCAAAAATCGAGTGAAATAATGGAACAACTTTTCGCTAGTAAGTGACTATATAATATACATACGTGTAATAAACCGATCATTTGTGAAATTCACTTAAATTAACTAATTATATTTTTTTTCTTGCATTTTTGCTTTTATTTACTACTTGTCAAAGATTAGATGTCAAAGAATTTAGATACGTCAATTTGACTTACCTGCTTCAGTAGCGTATCGGATGTTTATGGTTATAAATAATTATTATAACTTATCTATTTTTATTAGAATTTTATATTTTTATAACAATTTTAATAACTACCAACATTTATTCACAACGTAAAATAAATAAAAAAAATATAGAGTCTACCACGCGTCTACCCTACATCATAGTTTTACATTTTTTAAATAAAATTAGAACGGCACTGATAAACCGGAATTTAAGTCCGCCATATTTGAGGCCCATCGCGCTGGACCTAAGATTTTTGATATGCTCCTTCAGTCTCCTTATTCAAAGATTACAACAGATTTTATATTGATTATTATATGATTTGAAACACCACGGCACTGGAATTAAGTTTTATGTGACCTTGAACAGATTAGTTCACATGGTAGCGACCGATGAATCACTCCCAAACATTCGTGGCGTTTACTATACTAGTGTTTTAAGTTATAAATTGAATAACTAAAATTCTAAAGTGGGTATCATGACATAAATGATTGTGACTAAGTTCATATCATAACCTAAAAGGTTATGATATAAGTTTGCTACATTTAGTTATACAGGGTGCTACAAATTCGAGGTACGAGCATTGGTATCTCGGTAACCGTACTAGACACGAACATGGTTAAATTGGGGCAAAGTTTCGCTTTGGGATGTTCACCAAGATGCCATCAAAAAAGTTTTCAAAATTTCAAGGATCGCTGAGTTTTTTGGAAAATACTAAACAAATAAAAAATGCATATATTTAAAAAAATTAAGTTGGCCTCTGTATCTCACAAATTATCAGCTAATTTAAAAATCTAAAAATACTATCAGATAGCCTTTATAAAGTGGCTATGAGAATGTGCAATTAGTTTTTTGATTTTCTTAAAAGTAACGACAGGAAAAAATAAAATTCATTTTCAAAAAAATCCGTTTTTTCCAAAAAACCTCAGCAATCTTTAAAATTTTTAAAACTTTTTTGATGGCATCTTGGTGAACATCCCAAAACGGGCAACTTTGCCCCAATTTAACTATGTTCGTATCTATTACGGTTACCGAGATACCAATGTTCGTACCTTGAATTTGTAGCACCCTGTATATTTTATACATATCTAGTAGTGCTGTGTTAGTGTATTTTTAGTAGCACACTACAAAATTAAATGCCAATTAATTGTACTTCATTATTTCTTTGAAGGTTCTCTTCAATCTGGCCAATCAGTATGCTGCAAACGAATTGTATACCGAAGCTCTGAACACCTACCAAATGATGACAAAAAATCGCATGTTTGCCAATGCCCACAGATTAAAAGTTAATATGGGCAACGTCTATCTGAAACAAGGACAGTACCACATGGCCGTAAAAATGTACCGTATGGCTTTGGACCAAGTACCATCCACTCAGAAAAATCTAAGGTAACTAATAGCCTGTTGTTTAAGATTTATTTAATTAATTTTAAATTATTAACATCACTGGTGTATTGTAGTGAATTAGTATTTTATTTTGCTGTATTTTAGAATCAAAATTATGCACAACATTGCCATGGTCTTCGTCAAAATGGGCCAATGGGAAGAGGCTGTGAACAGTCTGGAGTTCATCATGAGTGAGCAAGCCTGTCATAGGGCAGGCTTGCACTTGGTGGCCTGTTGCAGAGCGTTAGAGGATCGCGATAGAATGAGAACAGCATTCTCTATGCTTCTCACGGTACCACTCGACGTTGAAGACGATGACAAGTACCATTTGGAGCAAGTGAGTTGAGATAATCTTTAGAAAGCATTATTAACTTTTATTATTATACCGGATGTTTTTCAAAAGTTGCTCATTCCTATAACTTTTTATTTTTATTATATTTTACTTTATATCCTTTTTTTTATCTCAAAAAATAAAATAAGTTATAGTGGTGTAGCATTTTTGAAAAAAACACCCGGTATGTTTCCTTGATTTTTTTTATACTATTTTAGGATAACCCTGAAGATGCTCTGTTAGCTCTAGCAATAAAAAATGATGATTTGCACAAGTACGAGGTACAAAAACGTCACGATGCAGAGTACTGTATTCTTACAGCAGCCAAGCTCATAGCACCTTTTGTAGAGGATAATTTTAGTGACGGTAAGTAAATATATTATAATATATAAAACATAAAACAAACAATAGGACCATTAATTCTACTCATACTGTCTTTACAAATATTGGAAATACATTTCTAGGTTATGATTGGTGTGTGTCAGCAATAAAAACGTCAGAATACTCGCCTCTGGCTTCTGATCTGGAGATAAACAAGGCAGTGATGTTTTTGAAGCAAAACCAACTGTCTGAAGCTGTGGCTGCCTTGAAGGCCTTTGAAAAGGATTCTGATATTGCCCTGAATGCAGCCACTAACCTTTGTTTTATTTACTTCATGGTAAGACTTATTTTCATTCAAAATTATAGTAGAGAATTAATTTATTTTCAAATATTTTTCTACTGGAAAGTTTGAAGTTTGTTTGTATTTTCTGTATTTTCAAAAAAAAAACTTTGAATAAAAAGATTTAGGAAGGAGCATATCAAAAAAGGGGTCCTAAAATGGCTGACTTAAATTCCGGTTTATCAGTGCCGTTCTAATTTTATTCAAAACGTGTATAAATATTATGTAGGAGGGTTTCAATTATTTGTTGTTTTTGTTTAATTGTCGATAAATGTTGGTAGTTATTAAAATTGTTATAAAATTATACAATTCTAATAAAAATAGATATAAGTTATAATAATTATTATTTAATAATACAAACATCCGATACGCTACTGAAGTAGATAAGTCAAATTGACGTATCTAAATTTTTTGACATCTAATCTTTGACAAGTAGTAAATAAAAGTAAAAATGCAAAATATATAATTAGTTAATTTTAAGTGAATTTCATAAATGATCGGTTTACTACACGTATGTATATTATATAGTCATTTACTAGCGAAAAGTTATTAAATATTATTTCCCTTGATTTTTTTCCGAGATCTACCGCAAGCTACACAACCAACTATTTTACAGTCTTTTTCGATAAATCGCAATGGTGTCACTGTTAATTTAAGTTCTGTCACAATTTCGTTCTCAATTTACTACCTCTAAACAACTACAGTTGTAGAATAAATAATAAATAACATAAAATAAGCTCAGTAAAGACTGAAAAATCCATAAAATTTCAAATCAAATTGAAATGTGTCAAATAAACCGTCAAACAGAACTGTCAAGGATCCCCACCCTAGAGTCCCTGCAACCTCCTTCTAACATGCATAAATACATGGATAGCATTATACTCCTTCCTTGTTCTTTTTTTATTCAAAAATTTTCACTATAGCTATTTTATTGTATGACTACACTAAATATCAGGTAACAAAGAAATTAATCGGTAACAAAGAAATTAATAACGTTTTTATTTTTTTTATTTTTGTAGCAAGGTGATTACAACAATGCACTCATCTATGGAGAATCGGCAGAAAAACATGCATCTCCCGACGCCAATGCCTTAGTGAACTACGGCGCATGTCTCCTAGCCAAGAACCACCTTGACCACGCCTCCCGTTGTTTCCGCAAGGCCCTGGACCTGGACTGTACCCACTTCGAGGCCATCTTCAACCTAGGCCTTTGCCTGAAACGTCAAGGGCACTACCTGGAAGCCTTGACTTGTTTCCAGAGGTTCTCTGGCTCTTTAGCTCTGTTGCCTGCCGTGGTTTACCAAGTGGCTAACCTTTTGGAGCTGGTTGGTGATGTGGAGGCTGCAGCTGATACGTACCAACAGCTTTTGGGATTGGTACCCACCGATTCCAAGGCTTTGCAGAAGTTGGGGGAGTTGTTTGACAATGAAGGCGATAAGCAACAGGCACATCATTATCATGTTGACGTAAGTAAGCACGCTATATAACTTTTATTGATTTGTCGATAGTTAATTTATTATATTTTTCTTTTAGTCTTTTAGGTACTACCCAGGAAATATATCTGCTATAGACTGGTTAGGGTCGTACTACATTGAAATGCAGGTGGTCGAGAAAGCGCTGTCGTACTTTGAAAAGGCGGCCATAATGCAGCCGGGGGATCCCAAATGGAACATGATGGTTGCAGGCTGTCACAGAAGAAGCGGTAATATGCACAAGGCTCTAACTCTGTACCAAGAAATACATAGGTAAGTTTTGTCATTATTTAGTAGATAGTTTTGGAAAAAATGTCACAATCTGCAAAATAATCTTATTAGGTATTTAAATGATTTACAATATAACAGCATATGAGATAAATTTTCATAAGGTATGCAACTCACATTACACTGAATCATAATTGTTTTTCTTCTGTATTTTTAACCTTAAATACAGTTGACATAAGGTCGATAATAGATGTATCTTTGGTTGCATACACTGTATATTGATATTAAAGTAAATATATATTTTTCTGTAAAATTATAGACAATTTCCAGAAAATAGCGAATGCCTACGTTTCTTGGTGAGACTGTGCAGTGACCTTGGCATGCGAGAGGCTCAAGACTATTTGTTGGAGCTAAAAAAACTGGAAAAATCTAAAGAAGTTCGTGAACGGGTGAATAGTAGCAGACCAGGTAAATTTTACCATTTTTTTTTGGTATTTTTATATTTTTAAACAGTTATTTTTGTATGCCACTAGCAATTCGAGTGATATTTGAACTAAAATTATGAAAACAGACTTAAAAACTGTTCTTTTCTTCAAAAACCATGAAACACTAGCGATTATAAAACAAGAAAAAACATTTTTCTAGCTTCTCGAAGGAGCAATAGTGGTCTGTCATCGAGGACAGGATCCGGATTTAGTCCAGTACTGGAACATGACACCTCAAAACGTACTCCTCCACCTTCGGCCAATAGAAACCTGCGCAGTACTAGGACGGTACGTCATCAGGACAGCGCAGGCAGTTCAGACTCTGGAATAGGACAAAATAATCTAGGTAAAAGATCGATTCTCTTAGTGACATTCTTAAAAGATATATCGATATTTTAGATATCGATATATTGGCCCATCCCTAGTAAAATATTTTTTTATGAACTAATACCATCGAAAGGCCACTTGTGTTTTTTTAGATTATAACTATGCAGATCCTTTGGGTCCTTTACCAGTAAGGCCTAGGACTGGGGCAGGGAAAGGATTCGATTTTGAAGACTTTGGAAACGAAGAACTGGGAGATGATTTATTGCCTGAATAAAAAGCTTTTTGTGTAAGAATTATTACATGTTCTTCAATACTTTTTTTCCTCTACTGCGTTCAAGCCTGTCGTATTTGCGATTCAGATATATTACAGAACAAACCAGGACGTACAACTTGATGTACAACACGTCGTTACGTATGTGACCACTTTACAAATCAAAACACTATAGTTAATATATGTTGTATACCAATCAAATTTAGACAGATAATTTGTTCAACGGAAAGATACATGACAGTGACAATGACAGTTGTCTGCCATGTATTTTCTGTCATTTTTTGGATATCATCTGTCGAAATATTGCCTGATGCGTTGGACAGGCTATAGGTAGATTTTTCTTTAAAAATATAGACAAGTGTTAAGAATAAAATCGTTTTATTTTTATACAATCATTAGGTACATAACTAACTGAAATAAGTTTTAAAAACATTTTAAGCCATTAACACAAAACTAAAAGACTGAGTTATTTTGTGTCCTGGTATTAATAATACTCGTTTATATGGGTAACAATCCAATATAAATATATTTACAAAAAAGTGAGTAGTTATTTTTGGTTAAATCTTCTTTTTTGTTTTTAGATAATTCATCTGAAAAATTATATTTACTGTAACAAAAAAAAAACTTAAAATATTTTATAATTCAGTCTTTTTTATGTTAGTTAAGTACACACTGGACAAATCTTACTTAAATATAAGCTAATAGTAGTCAATTTTAGACCAAATCTAGTAGGTTTCTGGCTATATAAGTATAAGGTAAAATTAAATAAGATACAGTAAAATAATCAGTCTAATATATACATATTATTGTTTTCATCTCGATGACAAGGTTTTTCAGAAAAATAAGTAAACATAGATGGTTTCTAAAACCATCTATGTTTACTATTTCTCTGGGATAACCACGATAAAAGACCATAAATATGATAATTTTAAGCACTGTCGCTGAGTAGGTACGAATTTTATACTGGCTAAGATTTTTCCCACATTGTCTCTTATATTTTAAAAAATCACAGTCTGAATTATTGAAGGTTTTCCATACGGGACGTGGTATTATTCGGTGTACCGTCCCAGAACCATCGATCTTAATAGAGGTCCCACTTCTTTAGGATCTTGTAGGACTTCCAGTAACATTTTCTCCACGTTTCGGGTGATGGACACTTTTTGATGGTCCTTCAAAGGGTATTCCAGACTTGTGGGCCCGACCTGTAAAAAAGAAACAAAATTTTAGCATGTCTGCAAAAAAAAAAGTAATAGGGATGTGCAAAAAATATCGATATATTCAAATATCGATACACAAATATCGATATTGGAATATGTCGATACTTCTTGGCATCCTTACTGTTTCCTTTTGAAATGTTACAAATTTTTGACGATCAGTATAATATAAAATTTCTCCAAAAAAATTGTAGGGATGTACAAGAAGTATCGAGAATAAAATATCAATATTTAAATATCTCGATAATCTCTAAATTCTCCTAAATTGTGATTATCAGTAAAAAATCTATAAAAGTTTCTGCAAAAAAGTATACAAAGGTTGTGCAAGAATTATCAACATAGTAAAATATCGATATTAAAAAATATCGATATTTGCATATATCGATACTGTTCCTTTTTCCTCATCCCTAATTTTTTTTTGAAAAATGTTACAAAATTTTTATAATCAGTAAAAAATCTGTAAAAAATTCCCAAAAAAAAATATAGTAGGGATGCGCAAGAATTGTCAATATAGTAAAGGATCGATGTAAAACAATAAATCGACAATCGACATTTAGAGACTTCTCTATTATTTTTTTGAAAAAATCCTACCAAATTATATTTGTCAGTAATTGTTTTTTGAAAAAATAGTAGTGGTGTACAAGAAGTATCGATATCATAAAATATCGACATTAAAAATATCGATATTTGTAAATATGTCGATACTTCTTCAACATCCCTAAAATGCTACAAAAATTTTATCATCATTATAAAATCTTTACTCTAGAGATGTTATACAAAAATATCGATATTTTAATATGTCGTTATACACGAAACTGACTTACTTTATACCAAAAATTGACAGATATAGTTGGTCCGCCCCTCATCAGAGATTCGATGTGATGCCACCAATAAATAGGAATGTACAGTACGTCCCCGGGTTCCACTACTGTTTCATAACCTTTGGCGAACTTAAATCTAGGAAATCTCGTGTAGTCGGGCTTGTCAAAGTCTACCTAAAAATAAAACGAATAAATTGATTCAACAGTTTATGAATTTAACTGGATTTATTATGGCTTGTTAATACGTCGCAAGTTATAAAACCAATAATACTTTAAATTTCATAGAATTCGGCGTATTCTTGGTTGCATACTTGTTCAATTCAAAAACTTGCATTAATATGGTAAATAACAAGTTAAAGAGATTTTCAAATGAGCCAAACTTACCATACTTTGTCTGTCATGCGGATGATAAACTGGATGAGGATACAAACACTCAAAATCGCTTGGAGGGAATAAAATGCATCTTTTATAGCCGTAAGCCTGGCCAAAGAAGTTCTGTTGTTCATCATAATGACACGGAGTAACGTTACCTTCCTAGTAATAACTCTAGTAAATATATTATTATTTTATCTTAAATTGCAATACTGTACCTGTGATATTAATATTAAATTTGACGTTAAAGGACCCCAATTATGTTTACTTTGCTTATTATTAATGTATTCCCAGTCGAAATTGATGAAATCCCTCACTAGTAAGTCCCCTATTGTGTTATTTAAGGGTTGTTGTAAATATAGCCTAGAAAAAAATTAAAATATAAAACCTTAAAACCATTGATATTAAAAAAAAACACACCTATCATTTCCAGGTTTCCATTCACGTAGTTTCCTCATAAATTCGCCAATTTTCATTTTGGTTTTCCTTGTGGGCGGTGTAAATTCAATTCCATGCGGGTTATTTTTGTTTAAGACTTTTGATTCATCGAAATATCTATAAAACAATCAAAGAACAATTAAAAATTAGTGTTTTTTATGAATCCTATTTGACTAATTACTGACATAAAACAAATAAATCACTTGTTGTTTTAGTCATGTTTTGTTTACTCAAACATGACGAATCATATTAGTTCTTGGAACCAACCAAGTATTATGTGATTCTTGATTATTTAACTAGTAAATAAAGAATATGAATTCCTTACTTGAATTTGTGCGTTTTGGACAACATTACTGTATGTCCAGCGTTGCCTATATTCTGCTCCAAGTATTCGGGGGTCCAGTTAGCCTTAGCCGTCTTGATGATATTCGAACCAGTTATTACCACTGGTTTCTGAAACACCGAAAAATCATGCATTTAATCATTTAATCCTATTAAAACATTCGAATTAAGTTAGGTTGGGAAGTAATCGAGATATACTAATAATAAACTTGATATTTACATTTAGGCTGATCAATTCGTCGATTTTTGGATCGGTATAATACAGCCTGGGAATTTGCTCCAATTCCAGATCATATCGCCTCAGCTGGGTGCTGTTCCACTGTTTCTCCTCACACATTTTTACGTTGTTTTAATTTATTTCGAATTAATATAAAATAATACACTTAATAAAAACTGTACGATCAAGTTCACACGACGCGTTTGCCTCTTACAAGCGAGGAAATATAAATAAACGTGCGAAAAAACTTGAAGAGAGCTCACGAACTTTTCTTTCAGGTTTATTTTGGTTCAAATTCGTCGTCTCTCTCTGTTCGCGCGTTTTTCTCTGTCGCTCTCGCGATACGTGCGAAAGACGTCACGTTGCGAACGTCACGTAGGCAAAATATTTTGAATAATTAGGAAAATGGCAATAAAAAAGTCGGTTATCTGCTGTTTACATACGGTTTTAGTCAAGTACTTTGCGGTTTCGTGTTTATATTTATCGTGTTTTTCAATTTGAAGTAATGTAGCGCAGTTTACTGTGATTAATATTTTACTATTGTGTGGGAGTTTAAAATCGATAACGTAACATTTAATGAATGCCTTATTAAATGTGAATTGTAGTTGTACAAAATTATTATATTTGGTTGTTTTCGAATAAACTGTTATTATTAAAATAATTAAAAAGTTTTTTAATTTTTAAATGTCTCTCATTGAAGTTTTTTCAAATTTATGCAACCAGTAATACAATAAATGATCAGTCTTTACCAGAGATATAGAGGTAGGAAAAACAGGATTTTTGCCCGTGGGTCTACAGGGGAGATCAAATAAATAATAATAACAGCCGATTGCTTTTTTTGACCTATTTTTATTTCGAATTTCTAGGTTTTACGGGATTAGTTTGGCTCGTCATCTAATTCTTTCTGATTTTTTGAACTTGTAAACGAATATAAACGGCTTTTGTATTCCTCCTTGAACTGATTTTATGATTTTATTTGTTATGTATGTAAGAATATATAAACAAGGGTATGTAGTTAATTTAGTCAATTTTATTTTTCGTTTAATATTTCAATCATGGTTCGTTGCTCTCTAACATTTTAATAATAATGGCTGGTTTAAACAGAAAATTAACATAAAATAAGTAAATAAAATAACTAATAAGAAATTCTTATTTCTAAGCTTTTAAACAGTGAAATAAAATAAGATATATACAGTTGCATAGGCCCAGGGCGCTGAAGTGTGATAAAAATTGACTTTAATGATTGTTTATAGTAATTATATACTATTCACAGTATTTTCTGTTTCCTCGTCTTGATAAAAAGATCATTATTTATTTAGGTATAATATGGACTGTTATATTATATTACTATAGTAGTTTAATTAACTACGTGATATTTTTAAGATTAACCAAAGATAGCACTCAAGAAACTTCTAGCTACGCGTAGCTAGATATTCTGTGCTTATAATCACTATTAATTTCTGACCTTCCCTTATAGAAAGCATGCACCATTATTCTCCCTACCTCCTTATCTCTGAGATTTTTTAAATTTATGCAACCAGTAATACAAAAATAATTTTTAAAATTTTTGGAATTGTAGGAATAAAACTCAATTTATTTGATGTAATTTTATTAAATATGTGAAAATAAAAAGTCAATGTATAAAACCATTGGCTTTTTTCTGAAAAGAACACAGCTTTGTTAAATTGTCGATTATATCTTAAGAGAAAAGCTAATAAAGGGTTATAATAATACATTTCTATAACGTGATAAAATTACTATGCCATATAAATTGTAACATCCTATAAATATTTGTCATAAAAAATGTTTCTATATATAATACTATAATTTCTTTTGGAATAAAGCAATAATATAAGCGGTTTAGGCTTTAAAAATATCAAGCAATTATAATAATACTTAAACAATAAAATAAAATAATTCAGTCATTGTAAAATTCGAAAATAAATTTATCCTGAAAATAACAACCTAAATTTTTACAATTTTCTGATTTTTGTTGATTATTTTTTTTCTCACAGCAATTTTCCAATTGTTTAAAAGAGTTTCACTCGATTAATTCGACATAGTTGGCCGGGAAAAGTCCATAAGTGATGCCATCTGGTGCCAAGCCCTGCCACCAACCCTCGTCGACCTTCTGTATGTTAGTTATTATATCACCAGGATCGAAAGATATTTCTGTATCATCAGCTACAAGAAAAAATAACACAAATTAATTTATTAAAAAAAAAAACTAATCTCTAACCTGCTTGATAGTCATACAAAGCTCTAGCTTTGTAAGAATCCTTAATTCCATAAATATACTCGTCGACAAAATCTTGTTCTAACATCTGAACAGTTTGTTCATTAAATGGGGATGTTTTGGGGGCTGCTACGTTCTCTTCGACTGGCGTCGTTGTTTCTTCGGCAGTCTTATGATTGTTTAGGTCTTTCGGAGACCTAAAACACACAAAAATATCTCTAAAAAAATTAAAATCATAAGAATGAAAATATCTAGGAAATTCTTTGTCTAATAGGTAGGCAACCTCAACACTATATTGAAGAGTTATGAATTCTCCATTGAATATCGGAATAATATACTGGAATTCCATTTAAAATAAAAAGACTAACTTGCTTTTAAAATGACCAATGTTCAATGTTAATTTTGTCTCATCCTGTATAACTGTATGTGTATCCTGTGTAACTGTATATGGGGTTTCAATTAACCTACGTAATCTACATACACTCTGTAGATATTAAGCTAAAACTTGATTACCTTTTGATTGTAGCAAACTGGTCACCATCATCGTCACTTAAAGCTTGTTCGGCATTTGTTGGCTCAGGAGAAAGTCTTAAAACACAAAAAAATATCATAAAAAAGAAAATTTTAAAATGTTAAATACCAAATTACTTACGATTTAGAAATTGTAGGGTTTGAATTGTTTTCAAAGTTGCTTTGAGCTTTTAGTATTGAAGCCCTAACAGGCTTCTCAGGAGCAGTATGTTTTTCAGTCTCTTGTTTAGTGCTTTCTTGTTCTATTTTCTTGATTTGATCGATCTTTTCGTTTCTCAATTCTGACTCATGGTCTCGTTTTTTCGTTTCGATTTCTGAAGTAATAATAATCACATAGCAAAGATCTTTTCTTTTTTAAATGTAGTAAAAGTTACCTTCTCTTTGTGCAATTTCTAGTTCTAGCTTCAATGATTCTTCCTTTTTTCGTTTCTTTTCCTCCTCTAAGCGTTTTTTCTCCTCTTCTTCTTCCTTTTTTTTTTATTTTGTCTCTTTCTTGAGAGTTAATTTCTTTGACTGCATTAACTTTCTGATATCTTGTGCCTAAAAACTCTTATAAATAGTCTGAAACTAAAGCATAATGTAGATATTATTTACCAACAGGGACAGCAGGCTCAAAAGGCTCAACTTTCATTTTGAAACTATATTCCGATCCCACTTTTTTGAGTTTATCCACCAACAAATCTTCATCAACTTCATCCTCGTTTCTGGCATTGTAAGTCAAGTGAGCTCCAGTAAAAAATCGTTCTATATCGCGTAAATGATTTGCTGAAATTCCTTTTCTTACTGTATTCGCCCCCTCGCCTTGCCAGTTGATCAGAACACACTTATCAAGTGAAGTTTTAGGGTCGTACAGTTTAACAAAGGCGTACATGACTTTCCCCGAATTCAGGTCTTCCCGAAGTTCGTTAATACCTCCATCGCCTTTGCTAACGAGCTTCAGTGTGTTAGTTTGTCCCTCGTACCCGAAAAGAGCCCTAAAAAACACCTGTAAAGAAAAATTCGAAAGAGATAACCTAAAACTTACCAATTTTTGTCGGTTTGTCGTTTAAACGTCCTTCCAGGCTTCTTTTAAGGCAGCATTGTTTTTACTGAGATCCACAGTCATGTTTTAAAAGGATTTTAATATAAGTTTTACTGCAATATTTAAATAAATGTATAAAAAAAATTCCAAAACATTTTACACCTGTCAAATGACTTCAAGTGTCTACTCGTCCGCCGAAACGGACGAATAAAAAAATTAAACGCGTCCGGTCAAATAATAACAATTCGAAAAAATGCTGAAGATTATGCTATTTTGATTACCGATAATTACATTTGTACCCTCATAACAATAATTAATTAGTTAGTAATAAATAGTCTCCCAAGTTTTGAGATGAAACGACGTACGACCCGGTACGACCGAAACAATAACAAAACAATAATTAATTTATTTTATTCATCCGTTTAGCGGACGACTAGTCACTCCGATGTTGTTCCCACCTGACAGTGACAATTAAACGTCAAATTAATTGTGAAAAATTTGCGTTTTGATTAAAAATATTGTGGAAAAATACGCCATAAAATGTCGTTTCTACAAAACGCCCTTATTGGAAACCCTTTTTCCACCCCCGTTGGTAGTAAAATTGGTGAGTATTCCCTTAATTACTGATCCCTAGTCGAAGAAATTGATGAATTCGTCGAGTCATATTTTTCTATTTGTTCACGGATTTGTTTATATCGGTATTGTATTTTATGGTTTATCATTTTAAAGGAGATTAACTTTAATATTTAAACGCCTTTTTATTCTATAATTATCCGTATAATGACTTCAGTTTTTTTTTATTATTGGGAAATATGTCTATAAGTATGTAGGTTTTTTTCAGACTTTCAAAACAATAATAAAACAACTATTCAAGTATTAGTCACGCTAATTATGTACACTTTGCTCTAATTGCTATTTGTTTACCGGTTGAGGTAACGCAAACATTATGCTGATGAGTTTAGATTAAATTTATCATCTGAAGAAATAAGTTAGTGGCAATATGTGTTCTAGAACAAGCAACCGATGGAACTCTGGCCTCAGAAAACTGGGCTTTGAACATGGAAATATGTGACATCATCAACGAAACGGAAGAAGGCCCCAAAGACGCCATCAAAGCGATTAGAAAGAGATTGAATCAAAATGCTGGAAAAAATTATACAGTGGTTATGTACACATTGACCATCCTAGAGACCTGTGTTAAAAATTGCGGTAAAAGATTTCATGTTCTGGCGTGCAGTAAGGATTTTGTACAGGAATTAGTATGTCTGTTACAAACTAATGTGTTTTTTTTTTCTAAATTCTATGTTTTTATAGGTTAAATTACTAAGTCCCAGGAACGATCCGCCTACAGCGGTTCAGGAAAAAGTGTTGAGTTTGATCCAGTGTTGGGCCTGTGCCTTTCAAGCCGACCAAGACCTGCTTGGTGTCAATGTAGTGTACAAAGACTTATTAGCGAAGGGAATAGAATTTCCCCCAACGGATTTGGACAGTTTGGCTCCCATACACACTCCCCAAAAAGTCAGTATCAATTTTTATACTTATATAGTTTGTCCACCAACAAAATCCTTGACAGTCATAGATGTGTCTGTCATTTAATTTCAAAGTAGTTTATTTTATTTTATCAAGAAATAAGTTGGTACAACGCATAGCAGGAAATAAAGCAGGAAATTAATATAGGGTATTTAAATTTTTAGTGACAAATAATTAAAATATATGAAAAAAAAAAATGTGTGTTTACAAAATACAAAATTAACAAAGGTGTGTGTAACAAAATACTATATATACAAAAATCTATAAAAAGAACTATTTCTTATAAAAAAAATAGATTGGTATAGATCATCTGCCTTTTTTTCTGTTGAAATCTTCACCAAGTCGTAAAACAGAGTTTAGCTCACTAAACTATATTTTTTTAATATGTGTACAGAGTGTACATTCTACAAGTGTCACACCAGCAGGGGACAGAGTTGTCCCAGGTCCATCTCCATCGACCAGTCCACTCCATTCGATGGGCTCTCCAACAAGCGGGGGTGCTCTGACTCCCGAGCAAAGAGCCAAGCTTCAGTCTGAGCTGGACGTTGTTCAGAGCAACATGAACGTTTTGGGCGAAATGTTGAGCGAAATTAAACCAGGACAGGAGCAACAGGACGAGCTAGAGCTTTTACAGGTCTGTATTACGTGTAAAATGTTTTTAGAGTTGGTACAAATCAACTACTCACCCTGTATATATCTATGAAAGTGTTTTTAAAACGTGCCGTACTATTTCACATTTTTTTATAGAAAAATATTGAGAGTAAGAATGGGGCTGGTACAAATGAACTACTTGCTTGAATTGCCTTGTATATCTATTAAAGTATCTTTAGAAAGAGCTATACTAATTCCATTTTTTATAGAAAAAGATTAATTGCTAAATAGAATTGGGTACAAATAAACTACTTACTCGAATCGCCCCTGTATATTTATGAAATTTTTAAAACGTGCCATACTATTTCACATTTTTATAGAAAACAAAAATCGAGTAAATAGGGTGGGTACAAATGAACTACTTGCTTGAATCGCCATGCACACTTATGAAAGTATTTTTAAAACGTGCTATACTATCTCCTACATATTATATAGAAAATATTGGAATAAAAAGGGTTGGTACAAATGAACTACTCGCTTGAATCGCCATGCATACTTATGAAAGTATTTTTAAAACGTGCTATACTATCTCCTACATATTATATAGAAAATATTGGAATAAAAAGGGTTGGTACAAATGAACTACTCGCTTGAATCGCCATGCATACTTATGAAATAAATTTTAAAACGTGCTATACTATCTCCTACATATTATAAATAATTGGAATAAAGGGTTAATTTCAAATGAACTACTCAACTTGAATCACCATGCATATGAAATAAATTTTAAAACGTGCTATACTATCTCCTACTTATTTTAAAAAGTATTGAGATTAATGGATCGGTACAAATGAACTACTGACCTAAATCGCCCTCATTATATCTCCGAAAGTATTTTAAAACGTGCTACACTATCTCCCGCATATTTTATAGGAACTACATGCCGTATGTCAGAGTATGCAGCACAGACTCGTCGATCTCATCTCCCGAATCACCAACGACACTTTGACAGAAGAATTGTTAAGGATAAACGACGATATGAATAATAATTTATTTTAAGGTAACAAAAATAGTATTTTTTTATAAAAAATTACAAATTTTCTTCATTAATCGTTTTTTAATTATATTTTTAGGTACAGTAGATGGGAAAAAAATAGGGCTCCACAGTCTGCTTCCGAGATGGTGGCCAAAGCTATCCCGGCTCCAAATTCTGCATTGGCCAGTAAAAGTCCCACGGGAAAGGCCCCATTGAAAAGCGAAGACAGTCTTATCGATTTTGAAGATGATTTACCCGATGCTGCCAGCAAATTAGGTTATAAATTAACTTTAAATCTATTATAAGACTGTTTTTTTATTGTTGCTGATATTTAGGATTAGGGGATGCACCGAAAACTGCAAAAACCAATGGGAAATCGAGTGACGAGTTTGACATGTTCGCCCAGTCGCGCAATGTGACGTATGAATCGTCCAAAACGAGGTTGGTTATTCTAACCTCATCATTCATTATTTTTTTAAGTATTTTTTCTCCTTGTTTAGTGGAAGTTCATACAAGGACAATATAAATCCAAATCAAATCTCTGGTGGTTTGAGTACAGTAACTCAAGCAAAACCTTTGGTAAGTTCAGTTTTTTAATTCTTTAAAAAAAAGGGTTATTTTTTCTATCCCCACTGTATTTGTTTGACATATTTATATTTATTAAATGTTTTTGCTGTTTTTTTTTCTACATTGTTCTGCATTTTTTCTCAATATATTGTTGTTTAAAGTGATTTAAATGTTGTTTTTCTTTTCTATTTTTTTTCTTACCGCTTTTTGTGTACTTTTTTATGTGAATCCCCGTTTAGACTGACGAAGATAGAGAGTTAGATGAAATGGCCAACTGGTTGGGAGACACGGTAAGTGTTTTTTATAGTGTGGTAGGTTTGGTTTTAAATTGTGCACTAACTTTAGGAGAGAAAAAAAACACTTTTTGCTTAATTTTATTTGCATTTACTATTAATATATGTTGCTATATATGACTGTAATGTAATATTTTTAACATTATAATACCCTATGATCGAAAATAAAAACGTCGTTGCAGTAGCCTTCGAAATAACAATCGATTATATCGTCTGTCGTTTGTTATAAATATACATCTTAATAAAAACTTAAAATTTAATTTAAAAGTCTACAGATTGCTCTAAAATATGTCCCGGATTGTCTTTACAAATTTATATTACACCATAGAAACGCGTTTTTTTTTTTTTTTTTTTTTTCATGTTTTTTAATTTTCTCTAAAACGGTATGGAAATATGGAAACTTATAAAGGAGATTAACCATGGATTAACCATTTTTAAAACAAGCAAAAATCTTTATGATGCGTTTTTATTTCAAAATATAATAAAAGTTTTCCTCTTTTAAAGAAAATCCGGGGACATACTGTAGAAAGTATTTTTTTTCATTTAAATATTAACTACCAAGTTTCTATGTAGCGTTTTTTAATTAAAGTTACTGCGACGAGAGTTTTTTTGCGTAAAAGCATGTATTATTAGGTCACTGGGGTTAATTGTATGTAAATGAATCATTATTTGTTGGAGTATAATTAACTAATATAGTAAATTAATAATCTATGTTGATGTATAGCTTTATAATTAACTTAAGTGTTAATAATAATAATAATAATAAACAATTTTTCCATTGTTATTTCAATATCAAAACAATGTTTTTGACAAAAATACAGATAAAAGGTAGCATTTACCGTTTAAAAATTAATCATGCTATGGTATGGCTAAAAAACCGGAGTCATAGAAGGCTTTTAAATGGTGTATGGTAATTTCTTTCAAAGGTTACTGTGATAACTTTTTTTCCGTCATATATTATTATCTCTGTTACGATGATTCATTTTTAACATTGTTAAATCTTGATAAAACGATCTGTCAAGTCTGCGGTCTAATCAAACCGTAAATAAACAAGCATAAAAAGATTTGTTTACAACTATGTTTCAGGGATTGGTTCAGGGTGAAAACAAGTCGATGTTTACGGTTAGTCTATCTTTTATACAAGTCTATGGTTGATTATTAAAGACTTGTGTAATGTAAGTTTCAGTTATGTGGTGTTAACACTGGTAGGGATTATTAACAATAATTTAATTAACATTAAAACTTTGAATAAAAATATTAAGGAAGGGGTATAATGCTATCCATATTTATGCATTAGAATGGAATTGTACCTCATAGATCCCTTTGATACAAATATTTTGAGAGCTGGTAGATCTCGATAGAAGAAACAAATTTTCTCTCTGTCGTTTTCAATCAATTCCAAAATAACCGAGAGATATTCAAGTTTGAAAATTTTAAAAATTGATTTATTTCAAAAAATTGAGAGTCTTTTTTAAAATTTGAGGGTACTAAAAGTAGTGCCGTAATCATAGTAACATCAGAGATTAACAAAATTATATACTTTGAAGAATTTGCAGTGAACAGAATTGGCTCGAATTCTACGCTCATCATTGGGATTTCGGAAACCGTAATACAGGATCCTTTGAATAAGAAGACTAAGGGAAGGAGCATATCAAAAATCTTAGGTACACCCTTGGTACACCGCGATGGGCCTCAAATATGGCCGACTTAAATTCCAGTTTATCAGTGTCGTTCTAATTTTATTTAAAATATAAAACTATGATGTAGGGTAGACGTGGGGGTAGACTCAATAATTTTTGTTTTTATTTTACGTTGTGAATAAATGTTGGTAGTTATTAAAATTGTTATAAAAATATATAATTCTAATAAAAAATAGATAAGTTATAATAAGTATTTATTAGCACAAACATCCGATACGCTACTGAAGCAGGTAAGTCAAATTAACGTATCTAAATTCTTTGACATCTAATCTTTGACAAGTAATAAATAAAAGCTAAAATGCAAGAAAAATATATAATTTAGTTAATTTAAGTGAATTTCATAAATGATCGGTTTATTCGGTTTACTACACGTATGTATATTATATAGTCACTTACTAGCGAAAAGTTGTTCCATTATTTCACTCAATTTTTGCCGAGATCTACCGCACGCTACACAACCAACTATTTTAGAGTCTTTTTCGATAAATCGCGATAGTGTCACTGTTAATTTAAGTTCCGCCACAATTTCCATCTAGAATTACTACCTTTATCTGCAACTAAGTAGTAGAATAAATAATAAATAACATAAAATAAGCTCCATAAAGACTGACAAATCCACAAAATAGCAATACGTAACTGG